AATTGTACAATAAATAAATGGGAACAATTCACAACTGTGGGCGCAATACATGTAAACTTGTCTTAATACTGTAAAAATACTTGTACTTGCATTAAATTAGTTTTGCTAATTTTTAATTTGCTGTTTTGCAAAGGCCAAACAAAAATCTGCCTTATAAGTGCAAGCTGACAAACAAAGTATGACACAAAAACTTCAATATCAACCCCAGAAACACCAAAATTTAAATTTAGGGGTATTTGTGTGCGAGAAAAGGCAAAAAATATGTGGTTCATACAAACTTTTAAGCATTCTTTATACATGTACATAAAAAAAAAATGTTCAAGGCTAAAACTAAGTTTTGGCTAAAGGAAAATATATTTACAACAGAATGAGAAACCAGTTCTTTTCATTTTGGTGTATTTCCATATATTACCCAAAATGAATTGGGATTTATGCTCATAATGGGACACTGCAAGCCAGGCACTTGCTATAATATCATACAAACTATTACAGTAATTCCTCATAAACAGAAAAGGAAAGTCACATTAGATTTTTTTCAGTCGAACACTCAATTCCAAAGCTGCTAAAAGATTGAATTCATCTGACAAATGCTTGATTAAATGCGCGATCCAAAAATATGACTAACATTAAATACATCTGACATCAGCATTTCCAGTGCAGTTAAGCAAACAAATGGTCATTTTTGTGAATGACTTTCAACACTTAGTGTGACATAAATTTTAGTTTAACCTTTTTAAAAGGTGGTGGTCGCCACGCCATCCATACGTGAGATACGAGTCTCATATGAACAAAGATGGTGACTTTGACTGTTGGCACAGACCAGCAAGTACAAACTGAGATGTTACCAAGCTTTAACTAGCTAACTTCTTTGGTGATTGGAAGGTTTTAAGTCACATGCGGTTCACGTCATGATCAGGTCAAAACTCGTATTCATGATTTCCATTAGAAGAGCACATTGAACCATGGGAAATCAATGTTTATAAACACAAATGTCGCACATGTGGGGCGCGATGACCACTGCCCTTTAAATAATTTTCTATATAATTTCTTATTTTTAACAGATGAACAGAATTTCCCATGGGCTACAAAAAAAAAAATTATAACTTTTGGAAGAGGACAAAAGTGGTACTGTTTTCAGTAATGGCTATGACATGAGAAAGAATGGCAGATAAAGTACATACATACACTACAGCACAATGCATATCAGTTGTTAAAGCTACCTGGCAAAAACATAGCATTACATCACACCCTGTCTCTGTCTCTATATATATATAAATGCTCTTGTAAGTTATAAATCCCCCCAAAAAACTTGTGCAATAGCACTAAGATACATATAATAAATACCATCAACCCTTTTACTACCATAGTCTTCCACTGCTTCACAAAGTAGTTCTGTTTCAATACACAGCTGCCAATACAGTTCTTCCAAACTTTTGATGAAGATTACCTCCAAGCAATGTCAAATTGTCTCCATTTCATTGAGGTTTTCAAAAATTAAAAGAACCATGATAAAAAAATTGCATCATAATTTTGACATGAAAAGAAATGTTACAATTGCATAAATACTGGGTGATGGTTTTCCTACTGGGTACAATTAAAATGACTCCCATACAAGTAAATAAAGTGGAGCTTTCAGAATAAAGAATACTTAAAATGCTAAACATATCCAATGCCTACAAGAGTCAAATGATTTCCCTGCAAAAATATAATCGCTACTGTTTTCTGTAAAAAAAAAATTGAAATTTACGTGTGCTGAGATAAATATTTATGAATCAAAGCATGTTGTAATTTAAATTCAAACACAAATGGGAAACCAAAACAGTCCCCAACATTCAGACATGCTGATAAGTATAAAAATATCAACTAAAAATTGAGTAGATACACTGCGCAAATTAAGACCATTAAATATTTCATGAAATAGTCACCTGTTCCAACAGGACTACTTTGCAGAAAGACACAATTTTACCGGCAGTAAAAGGAATAATAGTTAATTCTTTACACTTAAAATGCACATTTCATCAAGCATTTGATCAGTTAACAATCTTAGAGATTGACATCCCCATGAACTATGGGTTGATTTGCTTGACCATTTTGTCCGTAACTATGGAAACCGCATAATCCTCAGGGAGAGAAGCATTGAAAAAAAATAACAGATACAACAACCACCAAGGCAACAAAGAAAAGAAAACCATATTGAGGTACAAGAATATGTTAAGTCAGGACGGCAACAAGCAATAAATATATCTTTTCTAGAACATAACATCTTTTCTTTAAAAACAAGTATTCATAATTTTAGAATCATTTAAACATTAAAATTTGAGCGAATTTTGATTGAAACCAATAAATAAATTTACAAATTTAGAATAATGGATAATAATTTTGAGATTATGAATATAGTTTTCTAGAGAAAAGATATGCATCATCCTATACCCAGACATCCCCATTTAAATAAATTGGTACAATCCAATCTACATGAAAAACAATTGGGCTGTACCAAAATATGAGGGTTTTAGGGTTGGAAAACATATATAAAGTTAAGTCCGGATATAGAAGAAACCATTCACCAAATAGGGGGTGGGAAGGAGGGAAGTGGTACATTTGAGATGAGGGAGCACCATTTGAGCAATTCAGGATGGAAGACATGATGAAATCCTGTTGATGACAAGATACATTGACAGTCTCATCAGCAACAGAATGAATCAAACAGCCAACCTGATAAATAATAATAAAAAAAGTACAAATACATGCCCTGTCAGTATTAATAGATAGAATTTTGGAGAGTTTAGCCACAACTAAAGTTCTGTCAAATTTCACAAAATATGGTCTAATTTAAATTACTGTATGTACATTAATAATAAAAAAAAGTTGTCAGCAATATAACTTGAATTTATGATTGTGTAATTTTTATACAATAGATGAGATTGAAGCAATTTTTTTTGTAAAAGTAGGCTAACATAACACGTCTAGACTAGATGCCAACACTGCCGGTGAAACAGTATTATTGTAAATATACAGAAGTAGTACATGTACAGCATATTGACTTTTCATGACGTGCTACTTTATACACACCGTTATTTTTTTTATGACTATTGCTTAAAAATAGTAGCTTAATTGTAGTATTATAATCCATATTTATAATATATTTTGATATTGCTATATTGATATATAGATATTGCTGAATTATGAGAAGGAAAAATATTATTTAATTATTCCAAACAAAAACAAATTGTTATTTCTCAGTGATATTATGTTTAAAAGTACCTTAAGACCATACCAAGAATAAAGAAGAAGGTGAAATGTGAACTAGTAGGGTGGGTGAATAAAAGAAGAAAGAAGTGAAAATACAGTAGTGACACCAAGCTTTAATACTAGTTTTTTTTACTCTCTATATATTTACACAATGAAAATAATACAAATATGCAGAGTCAGTGTAAGCAAGCACAGCAAAGGATTGTAGGGTTTCAAAACGTGATTACAAAATAGCCATTCAAACCAGCACCACACATTAACGGAAAGGCTTAGGGTGCTTCACACTGTATTCCGGTAGTTCCTCCGGTACATGTTTCTCGGTCACCCTAGCCTTTGTCGATATTGTCATGGGAACACCAACTGGTTGACATTGCAGGTCAACAGTATCAGCATGCAGTCGATGGTGAGAGAACATATCACCTGCAAAAAAGAAAAAAAGTAATAAAAAAAGTTAGTTTCTAAATGTTTGATAAAACATGCCCTGATGTCACGTGAGGGGCTATGAAAAATTAAAACATGTGCTCGGTATTTACAATCACTTCGATTAAAAGGTGATCCAAGAATATTCCAAACCCCAAACATTGCTGAGTAAGCTATGATTGTATTATATGGCCTGTAACCCAACCTCTCAAAAAGATTTTCCTATATATCAGTATTCTAAGCCATTCTCCTATAGACTGAAAGAAACGACATAAAAAACAGACTTCTACTTGACAGAGAAATCCTCTTAGATCAACAAAACGATATCACAAATATCATGTAAACACAAACATTCCTATGCTCTGAGTAGCAAAATATCACCATAATGACAAACAAGATTAGTTAAAACGTACCATGTGATACAATGAAGTGCAATGCATCATTGGTAATTTATGCAAATTACCTCCTGACATTGTTATACTCAAAATATAGGATCAAATATTGAACTTTACCACCAGAATGAGCACACATTTATAATTTACAAACATAAGGAATAATCTGGATATTTATCAAATATGGTAAGAACCACAAATTATGATATGAAATGATGGAGATTTTACATTCAATGATTTTTACATTATTAACTGAAATTCAGAGTATAATTAGTTTACTATTACTACTTTAAACATTTACTTAGTAAATGTTACCATGCTTCTCAAGACAGGTATCCTTAACTTGGTCAATAATACCATGTTCTCACAGCAGGTATCCTTAACTAAGTCAAAAGTACGTTTTCAAAGTAGCTATTCTTAACTTGCCCCAAAATACCATGCTATCTAAAATATTAAAGCATCTTTAATTTAACGATACCATACAATACCTCAAAGGTATTGAGGTATCCTTAACTTGGTCAATACTTCAAAGCTTCTCAGAGCAAGTATCCTTAACTTGGTCAATAACTACATAATTATTCCATCTTTCTCCAGATGTAATAATTAGATGTACTACTGACTAAGTTAGACTCCAAAAAAAAAAAAAAAAAAAAAAAAAAGCTATGTTTTGTTTTAGTTTGATAAGACTTTAATTAGCAGGAACACAAATTGTTGAAAATATCTTATAGAAGATACCAGACAAAACACACAACAAACACACATAGGATGTTATGTGGTTAGGAAGAGGAAAGTGATATTTATCTTATTTTTAAAAAACCACACTTAAATCTACAAATAGTAGTAATACCTTAACCCTAGAGAAAAAACAAAAGAACACGCAAATTTGAAAAGCACGCCATTAAAGTGAAATACCATATGTACCGGACATTTGCGGTTTAGTTAAAATTTTTGCCATGAGAACTGTTGAAATTTCAATCCAATTCTTTCCTTTGGTCGAATGGTAATGGTGGATGTGGAGATGGCGGTGTGGGCTATAAGTAAAAAGAATATCAACACAAAAATAATTCTAGTACTCGTAAGCTTTTAATAGGTTATAGAAATTAACATTATCGTTAACGCAGACTTGTTTTTTTAATTCAAGAAAAAAAAAGCATGCAGGAAGAAGAAAAAATCATACAGAAAGAGGAAGCAGTGCTAATGTGCAAGAATTAGGATTGGGCATTTCAGAAAGCTGATATAGGCAATTCTATTGCTGAAAACACTTTTATTTATTTTTGTTCACACTAAGCAAGGATTACTAATGAAACCAGTAAATTAA